GGTTTATGTAATTTTAATGTTTTAAATTGTATTATGGTATTATGTGTATTGTTTTGTTGGAAACCGTCTTGAATCACCGATAGGCTGATTATTGTACAAATACAATCAATCAATCAATCAATCAATCAATAAATAAATAGAGAAATTAAAGGTAAAGGTAGTCCCCTGACACTAAGTCCATCATGTCTGACTCTGGTGCTCATCTCCATTTCTAAGCCGAAGAGCCAGAGTTGTCCGTAGTCCCCTCCAAGGTCACGTGGCCGGCATGACTGCGTGGAGCGCTGTTACCTTCCCGCCGGAGTGGTACGTATTGATCTACTCACATTTGCATGTTTTCGAACTGCTAGGTTGACAGAAGCTAGGGCTGACAGCGGAAGCTTACGCCGCTCCCTGGATTCAAACCTGCGACCTTTCGGTCAACAAGCTCAACTGCTCAGTGGTTTAACCCACTGCGCCACTATATTGGGAGGTGTTCTACAACGCCATAAAGAAAGATCAGGAAATGCTGAGCGACCAAAGAGGAAGGAGGGCATTCTGAGGGCTCTTCGTGACAGAGAATGGAGCAACAGCACCCCCCGGATTGGACTCGAGCCCAACCACCCGGCCCTTATAACGTTATACGGTTAGTGCGCGGCTGAGCTAAAAATGGGCGAAACACCTGGCCCTTATCACCTCCTTCTGTTGCCTGACTTTGTATTGTCTACACCAGTGGTTCTCAACCTTGCTAATGCCGTGACCCCTTAATGCAGTTCCCTATGTTGTGGTGACCCACAAAAGTAATATTGTTTTCGTTGCTACTTGATACCTGTGATTTTACTACTGTTATGAACTTTAATGTAAATATCCGATATGCAGGATGTATTTTCATTCACCGGAATAAATTGAGCACAAATACCCAATATGCCCAAATGTGAATGCTAGTGGGGTTGGGGGGAGGATTGATTTTGGAATTTGGGAGTTGTAGTGGCTGGGATTTATAGTTCACCTATAATCAAAGAGCATTCTGAACTCCACTAGCGATGGATTTAAACCGAACTTTGCACGCAGAACTCCCATGACCAACAGAAAACACTGGAAGGGTTAGGTGAGCATTGACCTTGAGTTTGGGAGTTGTAGTTCACCTATATCCAGAGGAGTGCGGTGGATTCATGCAACGATGGATCTGGACCAAACTTGGCACGAATACTCCGCATGCCCAAATGTGAACACTGGTGGGGTCTTGGGGAAAATAGACCTTGACATTTGGGTAGTTGTTGGGATTTATAGTTCACCTACAATCAAGGAGCATTCTGAACTCGACCAACAATAGAATTGGGTCAAACTTCCCACACCGAATCCCAATGATCAACAGAAAATGCAATGTTTTCTGATGGTCTTTGGCGACCCCTTTGACACCCTCTCACGACCCCCTCAGGGGTCCCGACCCCCAGGTTGAGAAACACTGGTCCTCACAATACATTGCTGTGTATGTGTACTGTGATCTGCCCTGAGTCCCCTTCGGGGTGAGAAGGGCGGAATATAAACAAAGTCTTATAATTATTGTTGTTGTTGTTGTTATTATTCATCTAGATAAGGAGCCATAAGTGTTAAAGTTGGTCTTGCCTCTCTCCTTATATAATAACAACAATAATAATAATAATAACTTTATTTATACCCCGCCACCATCTCCCCAAGGGACTCGGAGCGGCTTACATGAGGCCAAGCCCAACAACAACACATAGATAAAAACAAAAAAAGCAATAAACAAAAACAATTCAATTAATATAAATCACATATAAACAATAACACACAAGAATTAAAAAAACTATGGCCGGGCCAAATGTAATAGTTTAAAATTTAAAAAATAAACACTGGGCATGAACAAGGTAGGATATATCTGGTATAGGGTTTGAGGCTGACCCACATTTGGGGGGCCCAGACAAGGGGCTTACGAGAGGAAAAGGGTTAATTCAACCACTGTAGGGAGGCCTGACCCCTGCTGACCACGCCTGGTGTTGCAATGCTCCTCTGAGATTTGTAGGGAGGCCTGACCCTTGCTGACCACGCCTGGTATTGCAATGCTCCTCTGAGATTTGTAGAGAGGCCTGACCCTTGCTGACCATGCCTGGTGTTGCAATGCTCCTCTGAGCTTTTCAGGGAGGCCTGACCCCTGCTGACCACGCCTGGTGTTACAATGCTCCTCTGAGCTTGGCAGGGTGGCCTGACCCCTGCTGACCATGCCTGGTATTGCAATGCTCCTCTGAAATTTGCAGGGAGGCCTGACCCCTGCTGACCACGCCTGGTGTTGCAATGCTCCTCTGAGTTTTGCAGGGTGGCCTGACCCCTGCTGACCATGCCTGGTATTGCAATGCTTTTCTGAGCTTTGCAGGGAGGCTTGACCCCTGCTGACCACGCCTGGTATTGCAATGCTCCTCTGAAATTTGCAGTGAGACCTGACCCTTGCTGACCACACCTGGTATTGCAATGCTCCTCTGAGATTTGCAGGGAGACCTGACCCATGCTGACCACGTTTGGAGTTGCAATGCTCCTCTGAGATTTGCAGGGAGGCCTGACCCCTGCTGACCATGCCTGGTATTGCAATGCTCCTCTGAGATTTGCATAGGAAAAGCCTGCCCTCTGCTGACCACGCCTGATATTGCAGCACACTATTGTGCTCTCCTTTTTTCCCCCATTTGCATCCCATTGACAACCACCATCCTTCATTTCTATTTTTATTATTTTTTTCTGTTCCTGCAGACAAAAAAAAAAATCCCAAAAGAGAGAGAAACGGGGAGAGAGAAAAGGTTCTCGGTCGGATACCCGTAGCACATCAGCAGCAGTAGTTCATAATTATTATTAATTATTAATATTAGTATTAATAATAACAACAATGATTATAACCAGTGAGTGTTTTTGCTTAAGTCTTAAAGGAAAAATAACAGCAGCAGGTCGATACATTTCCCAATTCATATACCGCTTGAATTTAATTTTCGGGGAGGGGACGGGATTATTTGGGGGCCTTAGAGCCCCACACTACGAAGAAATGACAGCTTTTGATCTGTTCCTACCATTCGTTAAGAATTAACCGTATCCTCGGACGCCGACATTAACGCTCGCAGACCTGCCTTTTGAGAGAAATTATTATTATTATCATCATCATTATCATCGTCATTATTATTATTTACTTTTTCTTCCCCGTCGGATAGAGTTTAACCCATGCTTGCTAAAGAAGAGGAGGAGGAGGAGGAGGAGGGACGTCTTAAGGCTTCGTTAGTCATCGATTAAAAAGGAAACGGGGAAAGGTCTTAAGGGGGGGGGGGATAAAGGGGGAGGAGAAGGTCAGTAGGTCTGCTCCAACCCCATACTTCCGGGTCACATTCGCACCCGGTTTACAGTGTACAGCCATCCTTTCCCAGCCCAGTGTGCAGAGAGAGAGAGAGAGAAGTCGTAAAAATAAAATAATTAGAAAGGCAGCGGTTGCTTCGATCCAGTTCCTTTTTTTAAAAGTTCCAAACCTTACGGTGATCGTTATGGTCTCTGGTACGAACTGGGGATTGCGGGACTGCCGTTTCGTTCCTCCTAAAGCGGCAAAGGGACACAGCGCAAAGGTAAACAAACCCGTTTCCGTCCTTTGGCTCGGAATGAGGATACAGAGCAAGGGCAAAGCAGTCTGCATTAGAGGCAGGGTTCTCAACCTGGGGGTGTTTTGGACTACGACTCCCAGAATTCCCCGCTGGGAGGATTTCTGGGAGTCGGAGGCCAAAACGCCCGAGGACCCCTGCTCTAGAGCAGTTGTTCTCAACCTGGGAATCACGACCCCCAGGGGGGTCACCTGGCCAATTTGGAGGGGTTGTGAGGCCACCTCCATTGGCCCTGCCCCAAGGAGTTCTCAACCTGGGGGTGTTTTGGTCTACGACTCCCAGAATTCCCCGCTGGGAGGATTTCTGGGAGTCGGAGGCCAAAACACTCAAGGACCCTTGCTCTAGAGCAGTGGTTCTCAACCTGGGGGTCGCGACCCCCAGGGGGGTCACCTTGCCATTTCAGAGGGGTCGTGCGGCCACCTCCATTGGCCCCGCCCCAAGGGGTTCTCAACCTGGGGGTGTTTTGGACTACGACTCCCAGAATTCCCCGCTGGGAGGATTTCTGGGAGTCGGAGGCCAAAACGCCCAAGGACCCCTGCTCTAGAGCAGTCGTTCTCAACCTGGGGATCACGACCCCCAGGGGGGTCACCTGGCCAATTTGGAGGGGTCTCGAGGCCACCTCCATTGGCCCCGCCCCAAGGGCGTGGGCCAGGTGAGGGCTCCTTCGCGTGAGGCCTGGCCTCGTGCAAAGTCCGCCTCGCCTGCCTCGCACTCTAGTCATCCAGCAAGGGCGCGGGGCAGACGAGGGGTCCTCTGCATGAGGCCTGGCCTCGCGCAAAGCCTGCCTCGCACTCTTGCCATCCGAGAGCGCGAGGCAGGCGAGGCTGGGGGTCACCACAACATATTTGGTGGTCACCACAACATGAGGAACCATAGGAGTCCCGGTGTTAGAAAGGTTGAGAACCACTGCTCTAGAGGAAGTTATTCAATGTTGACGGGACGAGAGGGGACCCTAAACACTGCGAAACAACCCAAAACGTCATGACAAAACTCGAGGATGACGATAACGATCACCGAAGTTTGCATCTTAAAAAAGCAAGAAGAGAGATAAATTAAAAAAAAGGGGAACCCCCCCCCCGCCACGCTCTTTGCTTATTGATTCAAATGACGTCTAACCCCCCCTCTATCGCTTTTTAAAATTCCTTAACGCAGGTGCAGGCCAACTTGGGCCCTCCGGGTGTTTTGGACTTCAACTCCCACAATTCCTAACAGCCTATCGGCTGTTAGGAATTGTGGGAGTTGAAGTCCAAAACACCCGGAGGGGCCAAGTTGGCCCGTGCCTGCCTTAGTGTGTGTCAGTGAGAACCAACCGGCTTGGGCGGCCTTTATCTATACCCTGGGTGCTGAATATGAAGGCTTCGGCTGTCGGCGAGTTGTGTCAGTGAGAACCAACCGGCTTGGGCGGCCTTTATCTATACCCTGGGTGCTGAATATGAAGGCTTCGGCTGTCGGCGAGTTCGCCGGGCGCTCGGTTCATGGTTGTGCGCCCCGCTTTGCCCAGCGCCATCCCTCCCGCCGGCGGCGGAGCAGGCTCCCGGAGGCAGGGATGGTGCTGGAAGTCCCCGCTGCTCAGGTACTCCATGGCCGGCATCCCACCGTTGTTGTTGCCACCGCCGTTGGGGGGCGCTCGGTAGTGCGGTCCGGCCGGGCACTCCATGGCGGCGGCGGCCCCAGCGCCCATTGCTTGCGGCCCCGCCGTGCCGTGGAAAGGCATGGCCAGGTCCTGGGAGCCCGAGCTGTCGCTGTTCGGGGTGGGCAGAATGTTATTCCACAGGGGCGGGAAGTAATGCCCGTTGGCGTACGGGAGGCCGTTGACCGGCGGCGACGGGGTGGGCTTCTCCAGCGGCGGCTTCACGTTGAACGGCTGGCCCATGCACAGTTCTAAGGGGTATCCACCGGGGGCCTTACCGCCGAAACCCTGCTCGCGGGCGACGGGGGGCTTCCCCATCAGCCCGGCGGGGCCAATCATCGTTTCTCCACCGCCGCCGCACATCTGCTGCAAGTGTGCAAGTTGGTGGTGGTTCCAAGCCGCCGCCGCCACTGCCGCCTGCTTCATTTCGCTTTGGTACGCGGAAGGAGGGCCGGCCCTGCCTAACGGGACGGCGGGGTGTTCGCCGCCACCGGGGTTGACCCCGCAGGAAGGCATGGGGCCGGGGAGGCTGTGCGCAGAGACCCGGGTGCTGGCGCTGATCAGGAGGTTGCGGCTGATGGGGCTGGGGTTGGCAATCTGCCCCTCGCAGACTGAGGTAGCGCTGGAGCCCGCCCGGGCCTGGCAGAACTGGTTGATCTGGTGGACGATGCTGCTCAGGTCCGGCGGCTGGCTCTGCTGCAGCGTGGCGGCCATGGAGAGGGGGATGGTCGAGGTAGAGACGGTCACGTTCGGCGGGGCGTCCGCGTCCGACATCTTGCGGCCCCCGCCGTGCAAGGAAGGGGGAGGCGGTGGGGGCTGCTGCTGCTGTTGCTGCGGGAGCAAGTGGTTTCCCGGGTGTTGTGGCAGAGGGAGCTGCGGCTGCAAAACCGCGTGCGCCATGCTCTGGGCGTGGAGATGCTGCTGTTGCTGCTGCTGATGGCGGGCCAAAGCTGCCGCCGCCGCTGCCTGTTGCGGGTGGTGGCTTAAAGTGCTGGGTGCCGCGTAGGGGGGCGGGTTCATCATGGCTTCCGACGGGGCCAACAGGCGGGAGGAGCTTCGCGTCCCGTCAAAGTCCTTGACGACGCCTTTGGCCGCGGGTCGGACGATGGCCAGGAGTCCAGTTTTGGTGGCGGCCTGCGGCAAGGAGGAGGAGGAAGACGACGAAGACGAGGAGGAGGAGGGTGGGTAGGGGCTGTAGCGCTGCCCCGAGGTGTCCAGCCCGTTGACGGTGCGGCGGACGTGTTTCCGCTGCGGGACTTTGACACTGTTGGGGAAAATTTTGATAGTCAGAGGGTGGTTGGCCACCTTCTTAGCATACGCGTCCAACTCGGCTGGAGTAGGGTGCTGTGCAGCTCTCATTTTCTGTGTAGTGTCCCCTGGTGTTTGGTTTTTCAGGAAGGGGAGAAAGAGAGAGAAACGGGAAGAGGAGAAGGAGGCGGGGAGGGGAAGAAGGGGGAAGCAGACAGAGAGAGACAGAAGGGGGAAAGGCGGCAGAGGAAAAGAACGAGAGAGAGAAAGAGAGAGAGAAGCCATCAACACTGACTCCATGAACAGCCAGTGCAACAACAAAGGAACCCACTTTCAACACATTGGGAGGAAAACACCACACAGTCACAGAACTAGCAAACCTCGACATCCAACACGGATGTACTGCAACTCCCATCATCCTCCCCCAGCCAGTAATGGGAACTTAACTCCCATCATCCTCCCCCAGCCCTCCAAAGGTGCGTGGTCTGCAACTCCCAGCCACCCCCTTGCCAAACAGGAAAGCTGGGAAATGCATTCCAGAATTATCAGGGCAAAGGTGTGGGCTTTGGTGCAGAGCAACCTTGCAAATACCCCACTGACTACATCAAAGGAAGAGGCGTTTAAATAACTACAATTCCATGAGCCCCGGCATTCAAAGGCCTAAATATATCCTCAAAGCCTGAGACAGAAAAGAGAAATCTGGCCAAGCCCCTCCCCATACAGACATTCATGAGTGATTAACTTACAGACACATCTCTAAACACATCCTGCCCCATCCCAGGACTAAGATGGATAGACAGACACACACACACGCACGTGTGCGCACACACACATGTAATAAAATAGATATATACAGTTATTGTCAGAATTGGATCCCATTCTAGGACTAATATATATACATTTAAAAAGATATATATGCACTTATTTACATTATTAGAGCCCATCCTAGGACTGAAATTATACACACACACACACATATATCACATACATATACGTACGCGTGTGTATGCACGCATGTGCATGCATGCATGCATATATATATATATATATACACACACACACACACACACACACACACACACACACACACACACACACACACACACACACACACATATACACATACACACAGTTATTTTGAGAATTGGATCCTATCCCTTATTTACATTATTAGAGCCCATCCTGGGACTGAAATTATACACACACACACACACACCACATACATATACTTATATACGTACGTGTGTGTGTGTATGCACGCATGTGCATGCATATATATATACACACACATACATACACACACACACACAGTTATTTTGAGAATTGGATCCTATCCCAGGGCCCAATATTTCCAAAATTGGATCTCATCCTAGGGCATATATACAAACACACACACAAAATAAAATAGATATATACTAGGGCTGGGCGGTTTCGTTTCGTTAATTCGTAATTCGTTAATAATTCGTTAATTTTTTCAATTCACAAAACGATAACGAACCATTCTGGAGAAATTATTTAAAAAAAACGAATTTTCAAAAACGTTTTGTAAATGCTTCGTATTTCGATATTGTATTCGTTTCGTTATTGTTTTGAGGTCGTTTTGTTATTATTTCCGCATGTCTGGGCCAGTTTTATGGTTTAATTAGTGAAAAAAAATTATAATATCACACCAACAGTCAACAACAGAGGGAGAGGGAAGCTTCAGAATTTTTTGGAGGTTTTTTAGCGTATTTCGCGGTCGCGTCCGCCATTAACGAATCGATTCGTTATTGTTTCGGAAATCGATTCGTTAATTTTTTACCATTTACGAAATTTCGTAAATATCGACCTTTTTAAAAGGAAAATTTTGTAATTATTTTAAATATCGAAACAAAAAACCCCCAAATACAAATCGATTTTAGAAACAAATTTTTCCGTTGTTACCCAGGCCTAATATATACACAGTTATTGCCAGAATTGGATCCCATTCTAGGGCTGAAATATTTCATACATACATACACACATACATATATATATTACACACACACACACGGTTATTTTCAGCATTGGATCCTATCCCAGGACCCAATATTTCCAAAATTGGATCTCATCCTAGGACACACACACAGTCATTTTTATTATTGGACCCCATTCTAGCAATATATATATATATATACATACACACACACACACATATATAAATACTAGAATGGGGTCCAATAATAAAAGATCTATCTATCTATCTATCTCAAAATATCAATTTCAGTACTGGATCCCATCCTAAGACTAGAAGACATAATGTATGTATGTATAGTTATTTTCAATACTGGAGCCCATCCTAGGTCTAATGTCTGGGGGCCACTCACATTTCCGAAGTCCAGTGTTCATCTGCGGGTAAGAAAGCAGCGGGGAGGAGAGGTCGCCGGGTCCCGGGAGGCAGGCCAGCATGGCAGGAGGCCGCTAGCAGCTGGGGGCCGCCTTCCTCTGCGCGCTGGGAAGGAGGGAAGACAGGACGCGGGTTAGAATCCAGCCCCCGGGGCACCCTTGAGGCATCCAGACAGACCTGATCAAATTACGACTATTGGGAAACAGCACAGGGTGAAGTGACCCCATTCTTCCTTCCAATGATGCACTCACCCTACATCTCTCTCCTCTGGTGGAGATTCATTTAACTTACTTACTGGTGGCCCTATAGCTTCCTATGGCCCTATAACATCATATAAAGGTGTCCCGGTAACATCTTATGAAGGTGATCCTATAACATCCTACAAAGGTGGCCCTATTACTACCTATAAAGGTGGCCTTATTACTACCTATAAATGTGGCCCTATAACATCCTATAAAGTTGTCCCAGGGGTCCCTATAACATCCTATGAAGGTGGCCCTATAACTTCATACAAAGGTGGTCTTATAACATCTCATAAAGGTGGCCCTATAACTTTCTGTGAAGGTGGCCCGATAACATCCTATAAAGATGTCCCTATAACATCATATGAAGGTGGCCCTATAACTGCATATAAAGGTGGTCTTATAACTTCCTGTGAAGGTAATCTTACAATGCCCTATACAGGTGGACTTTTAACTTCTGATGAAGGTGGTCCTATAACATCCTATAAAGGTGTCCCATGTGTCCCTATAACTTCCTAAAAGGTGGCCCTATAACTTCATATAAAGGTGGTCTTATAACATCTCATAAAGGTGGCCATATAACTTCCTAAAAAGTGACCCTATATGATGATATAAAGGTGTCCCATGTGTCCCTATAACTTCCTATGAAGGTGGCCCTATAACTGCATATAAAGGTAGTCTTATAACTTCCTGTGAAGGTGGTCTTACAATGTCCTATACAGGTGGCCGTATAACTTCCGATGAAGGTGGTCCTATAACATCCTATAAAGGAGACCCATGTGTCCCTATAACTTTCAATGAAGGTGGCCCTATAACATCCTAAAAAGGTGGTCTTATAACATCCTATAATGGTGTCCCTATAACTTACTCTAAAGGTGGCCTTAGAACTTCCTAAAAGGTGACCCTATAACATTGTATAAAGTGTCCCATGTGTCCCTGTAACGTCCTATGAAGGTGGCCCTATAACTGCATATAAAGGTGGCCCTATACAACAATTATATTGTTGTAGCCAAGGTGGCCCTATAACATCCTATAAAGATGTCCCTATAACGTCATATGAAGGTGGCCCTATAACTTTCTATGAAGGTGGCCCTATAAAATGTGCTATAAAAGTGTCCCTATATCTTACTAAAAAGGTGGCCTTAGAACTTCGTAAAAGGTAACCCTATAACATCCTATAAAGATGTCCCAGGTGTCCCTATAACGTCCTGTGAAGGTGACCCTATAACATCCTATAAAGGTGTCCCTATAACTTACTATAAAGGTGGCCTTAGAATTTTCTAAAAGGTGGTCCTATAACATCCTATCAAGGTGTCCCAGGTGTCCCTATAAAGGTGGTCTTATAATGTCCTATAAAGGTGTCCCTATAATGTCATATGAAGGTGGCCCTATAACTTCCTATGAAGGTGACCCTATAAAATGTGCTATAAAGGTGTCCCTATACCTTACTAAAAAGGTGGCCTTAGAACTTCCTAAAAGGTTGTCCTATAACATCCTATAAAGATGTCCCAGGTGTCCCTATAACATCCTATGAAGGTGGCCCTATACCTTTATACAAAGGTGGCCTTCTAACATCTCACTAAGGTGGCCCTATCACATCCTATAAACCATGGTCCTATGACCTTCTACACATGAGATGCTATAACCATTTTTGCCCTGTACTTTGCAGGCCTAAAATGGACGGACGGACGGATGGATGGATGGACGGATGGATGGACAGAGAGATTGTTGGAACTGGCTTTTCCAGCCAGACGCAAAAGAGATGGAAGGCGTTCAAGCCAAGGACAGGAATGGAAGCGGCCACTGCGCCCGTTTAATAAAAGCAAAGGGACACAAAGGCCCTCCAGGCCCAAAAGCCAGGAATTTTCCGAAGACTAGGCAGCCTGCGTGCAAAGGCTGTGTCGTTAAAGGGGCCGGAGAGGAGGAAAAGGAGAGAAAAAGGGAGGGATCCAGGTCAGAAGGGACACCAAAGGGTATCTAGCCTACCCCACCGTGGTCTCTCTGGACTGCGTTTATTGCACAAATCACAAGCAAACAAACCCAACCAAGGAGCTTCTGTCTGGTATAAAATAACCAAGACGACCTTATCCACAAAATAGGCACCCCAAGCCCTTTCCTTCGCTCTTCTCCATGGTTCCGTGTATCCAAACAACGTCCTTTCCAAGCACTTCCAACACAACCCTGCGATACTCAAGGACTGGAAGTCCTTCATCTCAGTGGGGTTCCGTTATCCACAGCTTCGTTCATTCGCAACAGAAAATACTCAGACGTTCCCAGGACCTCAAAATTTAACTGCAAAGGCGCTGGTATCAACCAAGACAACACTGAGCGCCACACAATCTGTCAACTGCAAAAGGCCACCTTATTTGGATCTGCGTGTGTCATTAGGTGGCCATATAACATCCTACAAAGATGTCCCTATAACTTCCTATAAAGGTGGCCTTCAAACTTCCTATAAAGGGTGTCCCAGGTGTCACTATAACATCCTATGAAAGTGACCTTATAACATCCTATAAAGGTGGCCCGATAATGTCCTATTAAAGGTGGTCCTAGAACTTCCTATGAAGGTGGCCCTATAACATCATATAAAAGTGTCCCGGGGTCCCTATAATATCATATGAAGGTGCCCCTATGACTTCCTATAAAGGTGGACCTATAATGTCCTATAGAGTGGGTCCTAGAACTTCCTATGAAGGTGGTCCTATAAGGTCCTATGAAGGTGGCCCTATAATGACCTGTAAAGGTGTCCCAGGTGGCCCTATAACAAACCTATGAAGCTGTCCCTATAATGTCCTATGAAGGTGGCCCTATAACTTCCTATAAAGGTGTCCCAGGTGTCGCTATAACTTCCTATGAAGGTGGCCCTATAATGTCCTATTAAAGGTGGTCCTAGAACTTCCTATGAAGGTGACCCTATATCGTCCTATGAAGGTGTCCCTATAACATCCTGTGAAGTTGCCCCTATATCTTTCTATAAAGGTGCCCATATATCTTCCTATAAAGGTGTCCCAGGTGTCGCTAGAACTTCCTATGAAGGTGACCCTATAACATCCTGTGAAGGTGGCCCTATAACATCCTATAAAGGTGTCCCTATAATGTCCTATAAAGGTGGTCCTAGAACTTCCTATGAAGGTGGCCCTATAACATCCTATAAAGGTGTCCCTATAACATCCTGTGAAGGTGCGCCTATATCTTTCTATAAAGGTTGCCCTATAACGTCCTATAAAGGTGTCCCAGGTGTCACTATAACATCCTGTGAAGGTGCCCCTATATCTTCCTATAAAGGTGTCCCAGGTGTCGCTAGAACTTCCTATGAAGGTGACCCTATAACATCCTATGAAGGTGGCCCATTAACGTCCTATAAATGTGGTCCTAGAACTTCCTATGAAGGTGGCCCTATATCTTCCTATAAAGGTGTCCCAGGTGTCACTATAACATCCTATGAAGGTGGCCCTATAACTTCCTATAAAGGTCGCCCTATAACTTCCTATAAATGTGGCCCTATAATGTCCTATAAAGGTGGTTCTAGAATTTCGTTTGAAGGTGCCACTATAACATCCTATGAAGGTGTCCAGATAACTTCCTATAAAGGTGGTCCTAGAACTTCCTATGAAGGTGACCCTATATCGTCCTATGAAGGTGTCCCTATAACATCCTGTGAAGTTGCCCCTATATCTTTCTATAAAGGTGCCCATATATCTTCCTATAAAGGTGTCCCAGGTGTCGCTAGAACTTCCTATGAAGGTGACCCTATAACATCCTGTGAAGGTGGCCCATTAACGTCCTATAAATGTGGTCCTAGAACTTCCTATGAAGGTGACCCTATAACATCCTATGAAGGTGGCCCATTAACGTCCTATAAATGTGGTCCTAGAACTTCCTATGAAGGTGGCCCTATATCTTCCTATAAAGGTGTCCCAGGTGTCACTATAACATCCTATGAAGGTGGCCCTATAACTTCCTATAAAGGTCGCCCTATAACTTCCTATAAATGTGGCCCTATAATGTCCTATAAAGGTGGTTCTAGAATTTCGTTTGAAGGTGCCACTATAACATCCTATGAAGGTGTCCAGATAACTTCCTATAAAGGTGGTTCTAGAACTTCCTATGAAGGTGGCCCTATAACGTCCTATAAAGGTATCCCAGGTGTCCCTATAAAGTCCTATGAAGGTGCCTCTATATCTTCCTATAATGGTGTCCAAGGTGTCGCTATAACGTCCTATGAAGGCAACCCTATAACATCCTATGAAGGTGGGCCTATAATGTCCTATAAAGGTGATCCTAGAACAGTGGTTCTCAACCTGGGGTCCCCAGATGTTTTTGACCTACAACTCCCAGAAATCCCAGCCAGTTTACCAGCTGCTAGGGTTTCTGGGAGTTGAAGCCCAAAAACATCTGGGGACCCCAGGTTGAGAACCACTGTCCTAGAACTTCCTATGAAGGTGGCCCTATAATGTACTATAAAGGTGTCCCAGGTGTCCCTACAACGTCCTGTGAAGGTGCCCCTATATCTTCCTATAAAGGTTGCCCTATATCTTCCTAGAAAGGTGTCCCAGGTGTCCCTATAATTTCCTATGAAGGTGCCCTTATAGCATTCTATAAAGGTTGCCCTATAACTTCCTATGAAGATCGTCCTATAATGTCCTATGAAGGTGACCTTTTAACGTCCTCCTAAACGCATATTTGCTGTGTCATACTGTGTTTTTGCAAATAATAATAATAATTGCATAGAATCATAAATTCAGAAGGGCCATCCAAGTTCAATCACTTTTTGACACCACACCACCAGTTCAACCACTTTCTGCCATAAAGGAAGACACCAACCGATCCCCCCCAACAGATGGCCCATCCAGCCTCTGCTTAATCATCATAATCACAATCATAATCACCATAATCTCTGTTAACACATCCTCCAAAGACATAAGGGCCATACAATGATGATGATGACAACAACAACCACAACACAGTTCTGGCAACATATCCTCCAATTTCTGGTGACATATCCTCCAAAGACACAGGAGTCATAGTAATAATAATAATAATAATAATAATAATAATAATAATAATGAATTTCTGGTGACATATCCTCCAAAGACACAATAATAATAACAATAACAATAACAATAATAATAATGAATTTCTGGTGACCTATCCTCCAAAGACACAATAAATAATAATAATGATGATGATGAATTTCTGGTGACATATCCTCCAAAGGCACAATAATAATAATAATAATAATAATAATAATGAATTTCTGGTGACATATCCTCCAAAGACACAATAATAATAATAATAATAATAATAATAATGAATTTCTGGTGACATATCCTCCAAAGACACAATAATAATAATAATAATAATAATAATAATAATAATAATAATGAATTTCTGGTGACATATCCTCCAAAGACACAGGAGTCATGCTGTAATAGTAACCTTCATCATCATCATCATCCTCATCCTCATCTATGGTACCTTCATCCAGACATTTTGTCTATCCTTTTTAAAGATATATTTAAAACTGAATTATCTGAGACCTTTGCCTTCTCCTTCCCCCAAAGGCATCCAAAATGAATGCCACCTGACCCCATTTTAATTGCTATGGAATCATGGGAGCAGTCGTTTAATGCGGTGTCATACAACTACAACTCCCAGGATCCCACAGCATTGAGCCACTGCGGTCAAAGCAGTATCGAACTGCATTAATTATACAGTGCAGATGCACCCGATATCCCTTTGCTGACATTTTGTCCCCATTTCTCAATCAAAATGGAGGGCGGTGCCTTTAAGGCCCCACAAAAAGATTGCAGTGATGTATGTTTACTGATATGGTAATATTTATGTTTTGTGTAGGGTTTTTTTTAAAGGCAGTGGGTCTTGAATTTGAAGGAATAATGGGTTGGAAAGGAGGATTATTGGGGGCTGGAAATGAAACGCTGGGACAGAAATAGGCCAATTGGAGGGTTCCAAAGGAAAGACTATTATTATTATTTTCATTATTATTATTATTATTATATACAGAAAGAAGGCCATTGGGAGGCTTCCCAATAAAAGTGAATAAGGGCTTTTAGGGGGCTCTGAGTCACAAAGAAACAGGGTTATGGGGGGCTCCAATGAAAAATAGAATTATTGGTGGGCTCCAAATGAAAAAGAAATATTATTATCATTATCATATACAGAGAGGAGGCCGTTGGGGGGCTTCCAATGAAACTAAATAGGAATACTAGGGGGTCCCAATTAAACAGACAAATTATTATTATTATTATTATTATTATTATGGAAGGATAATCTTTTGTTATATCTTATTTCCTACTTTTCTATCTTCTTCACAATATTCCCTCACTTTCCATGTAATTATATATTGGATCAATAAAAATTAATTTGAAAAAAAAGGAAGGATAATGAAGGAACTAAGTGAAAGAGAAAGAGGACTTTTGGAGGGCTCCAAATGGAAGAGTATTATTATTATTATTATTATTATTATTGGTAGTAGTAGTAGTAAGAAGGCTATTGGAGACTCTACATGAAAGAGAAATAATAATAATAATAATAATAATAATAATAATAATAATAATAACAATAAGAAGGAGGAGGAGGAGGAGGAGGAGGAGGAAGAAAGGGAGAGAGAAAGGAAGGAAGGAAGAAGGCTGTTGGGGACTCTAAATAAAAAGAAAATAATAATAATAATAATAATAATAATAGCAATATACAGATAGAAGGCATGGGAGGGCTCTAAATGAAAGACTAAAATATATTAATAATATGCATAAAGAAGGCTGCTCCAAATGAAAGAGAAAATATAATAATCATAATATAGAAAGGCAGCTACTGGGGGCTCTAAATGAATAATAATAATAATAATAATAATAATAATAATAATAATAATAATAATAATAGAAATATACAGAAAGAAGGCGATTGGAAGACTCTACGTGAAAAAGAAAATATAATTAATAATAATAATAATAATAATAATAATATACAGATATGCTATTTTCTCTAAATGAAAGAGAAAATATAATCATAATATGGAAAGGCAGCTATTGGAGGCTCTAAATGAAAGGGAACATATAATAATAATAATAATAATAATAATAATAATAAGTAAAGGCAACTATTGGGGACTCTAAATGAAAGAGAAAATATACTACTACTACTAATAATAATAATAATAATATGTAAAGGCAGCTATTGAGGGCTCTAAATGAAAAAGAAAATATAATAATAATAATAGCAATAGCAATACACAGAAAGAAGGCTGTTGGGAGCTTCAAATTAAAAAGAAAATATAATAATAAGTAAAGGTAGCTATTGGGGGCTCTAAATGAAAGATAAAATATAATAATAATAATAATAATAATAAGTAAAGGCAGCTATTGAGGGCTCTAAATGAAAGATAAAATATAATAATAATAATAATAATAATAATAATAATAATAATAATATGTAAAGGCAGCTATTGAGGCCTCTAAATGAAAGAGAAAATATACTACTACTACTAATAATAATAATAATAATAATATGTAAAGGCTGTTGGGGGCTCTAAATGAATAATTGATTGCTCTAAATGAAAGATTAAAATATAATAATAATATACAGAAAGAAGACTGTTGGGAGCTTCAAATGAAAAAGAAAATATGATGATGATGATGATAAAGAAAGGCAGCTATTGGGGGCTCTAAGAGAAAAATATAATAATAATAATAATAATAATAATAATAAGTAAAGGCAGCTATTGGGGGCTCTAAATGAAAAACATAATAATAATAATAATAAGTAAAGGCAGCTATTGGGGGCTCTAAGAGAAAAATATAATAATAATAATAATAATAATAAGTAAAGGCAGCTATTGGGGGCTCTAAATGAAAGAGAAAATATAATAATAATAAAATAATAATAATAATGATAATAATAATATGTAAATGCAGCTATTGAAGGCTCTAAATGAAAGATTAAAATATGATAATACTATACAGAAAGAAGGCTGTTGGGAGCTTCAAATGAAAAAGAAAATATAATAATAATAATAATAATAATAATAAAGAAAGAAATGCAGCTATTGGGGGCTCTAAGTGAAAAAGAAAATGTAATTAATAATAATAGTAATATATATATATATATAAAGGCTACTTTCTCAAAATGAAAGAGAAAATATACTAACACTAATAATAATAATAAATGATAATAATAATATACAGAAAGGAGGCTATTGGGGGCTCCAAATGAAAGGGGAAATGTAAATAATAATAATAATAATAAAGAAATGCAGCTATTGGGGGCTCTAAGTGAAAGAGAAAATATAATAATGATAATAATAATAATAATAATAATAATAATAATATGTAAAGGCAGCTATTGGGGGCTCTAAATGAAAGATTAAAATATAATAATAATATATAGAAAGAAGTCTGTTGGAAGCTTCAAATGAAAAAGAAAATGTAATTAATAATAATAGTAATATATATATATATAAAGGCTACTTTCTCTAAATGAAAGAGGAAAATATAATAATAATAATTGACAATAATATACAGAAAGGAGTCTATGGGGGGGGGCTCCAAATGAAAGGGGAAATGTCATAATCCGGGAGGGAGGGGGCTCTTGTGGGGCTCTGAGTGAGGGAGGCCTAGCGAGGCGAGCCAAGCCTGGGCCTGGAGTGCCCTCGCCCGCCGGCTCCCTCGGGGGCCTCCCTTCCGAACCCCCAACCCGTGCGGGGCCCCAATGGGGGCGCAAAGGCGAGGGCCCCGGGCGCTTGGCCTGCCCTCACCGTCCGGCCCTCATGGCGCCGCCGCCGCGCTCCGCCGCCTTCGGGCCCCGTCTCCTCCTCCTCCTCCTCCTCCTCCTCGAGCCGGCTCGGCCGCTCCCCAAAGCCCCCTCCTGCGCATGCGCCGACACGCCCCGCACGCACGCACGTGACGCAGGCGGAGCACGCACGCACGCCCCCCTCTCCACGCTGGACACGCCCCCTCTGGGCCAAAGAGACCCGGCAGAGAGCGGAGCACAGACACTTCCGGCTCCATTCCCACCCTAGCATTTCCTAATGGGTGTCCAGGACAGAGGTTTCCTCATCCACACACAGAACGCCCATATGCCTCAGTACCTGATTCATAGAATCATAGAATCAAAGAGTGGGAAGAGACCTCCTGGGCCATCATCCAGTCCAACCCCATTCTGCCAAGAAGCAGGAATATTGCATTCAAAGCACCCCTGACAGATGGCCATCCAGCCTCTGTTTAAAAGCTTCCAAAGAAGGAGCCTCCACCACACTCCCTCCGGGGAAGGCAGAGAGTTCCACTGCTGAACGGCTCTCACAGTCAGGAAGTTCTTCCTTGTGTTCAGATGGAATCTCCTCTCTTGTAGTTTGAAGCCATTGTTCCATTGCGTCCTAGTCTCCAGGGAAGCAGAAAGGAAGCTTGCTCCCTCCTCCTCCTCCCTGTGGCTTCCTCTCACGTATTGATACATGGCCCTCATTATGTCTCCTCTCATCCTTCTCTTCTTCAGGCTAAATATGCCCAGCTCCTTAAGCCGCTCCTCATAGGGCTTGTTCTCCAGACCCTTGATCATTTGAGTCGCCCTCCTCTGGACACATTCCAGCTTGTCAATATCTCTCTTGAATTGTGGTGCCCAGAATTGGACACAATATTCCAGGTAAAGTGGTCTAACCAAAGCAGAATAGAGCATGTGGAGCATGACTTCCCTAGATGTAGACACTAGGCTCCTCTTGATGCCTGAGGCCAAAATCCCATTGGCTTTTTTTGCCACCACATCACATTCCTGGCTCATGTTTAACTTGTTGTCCACGAGGACTCCAAGATCTTTTTCACACGTCCTGCTCTCAAGCCAGGTCTCATTGTCCCCCATTCTGTCTCTTTGCATTTCGTTTTTCCTTCCAAAGTGGAGTATCTTGCATTTGTCCCTGTTGAACTTCATTTTGTTAGTTTTGGCCCATCTCTCTAATCTGTCAAGATCGTTTTGAATTCTGCTCCTGTCCTCTGGAGTATTGGCTATCCCTCCCAATTGGGTGTCGTCTGCAAACTTGATGATCATGCCTTCTAACCTTTCATCTAAGTCATGAATGAAGATCCTTATCAGGACCGGGCCCAGGACGGAACCCTGCTTGTGGCACTCCACTCGTCACTTCTTTCCAGGATGAAGAGGAAGCATTGGGGGGAATCACCCTCTGGGTTCGTCCATTTAACCAATTGCAGATCCACCTCACCCCTGACATTAAGTCCAGTCATGTCTGACTCTGGGGTGTGGTGCTCATCCCTATGTATATATACACATGTGGATCATGTGTGTGTGTATATATATATATATATATATATATATATATATATATACACACACACACACACACACACACACACACAAACACACACACACACTACATATGTAAATTATGCGTGTATACACATGCCTGTATATATACACACACATGTGGATCATGTGTGTGTGTATACATATGTATATATACACAAACACACACACACTAAAAAAGGTAAAGGTTTCCCCCTGACATTAAGCCCAGTCGTGTCCGACTCTGGGACTCTGGTGCTCATCTCCATTTCTAAGCGGAAGAGCTGTCATTGTCCTTAGACACCTCCAAGGTCATGTGGCCGGCATGACTGCATGGAGCACCGTTACCTTCCCGCCGGAGCGGTACCTATTGATCTACTCACATTTGCATGTTTTCGAACTGCTAGGTTGGCAGAAGCTGGGGCTGACAGCGGAAGCTCACGCCGCTCCCCGGAATTGAACCTGCGACGTTTCGGTCAACAAGCTCAGCAGCTCCATACACACACTACATACACACACTACATATGTAAACTATATGTGTTTAAACACATGCCTGTATATATACACACACATGTGGGTGTGTGTATATATACACACACTACATATGTATATATGTGTATATACATACACATGTGTATATATTTATGCACACATATGTGGATATGTATGTATATGTATGTGTGTATCTATATATAATGTATCCTTATGAGTATTGTTTTAATCTTTGTACTATATATGTATATATGTGTATGTATATATGTGTTTGTGTATACATGTGTGTGTGTGTGTATTTTATATGGTATTGTGTTTATCTGGATGTTTTAACTGTGTCATACTGCACCATAACAAATCAAATTATTAATATGTATCCTTATCAGTATTGTTTTAATCTTTGCACTATATATGTATATGTATGTATGTGTTTGTGCATACATATGTGTGTGTGTATTTTATATGGTACTGTGTTTATCTGGATGCTTTCACTGTGTTGTACTGCAAATAAAATTATTAATACGTATTCTTATATGTATATATGTGTATGTATGTATGTATGTGTGTGTGTGTGTGTGTGTGTTTTATATGGTACTGTGTTTACCTGGGTGCTTCAACTGTATTCTACACCACCATAAATAAAATTATGATTATTTATTTGCATGTAAATATCAACACAACACATATTCACATTAGTGTCTGGAATTTGTCTCTGAATATTGGACCAAGGATATTATTATTTGCACAGACATACAATACAGATATATTTATTATAAATATTTTTAATTGATCAGTATTTGTATTGGCCAGATAATATACATTATAGACACTGCATTCACAAATACAGCAGTGTAGATAATTTTGTTTTGTTTTGCTTTGTTTTGAGGCACCCCTTCAAATGAGAGCCGGATGTGGGGGTCAAACTTGTGCCGATTCACCTCTATAAATACAGATATATTTATTACAAATATTTTTTTAATTGATCAATATTTCTATTAGCCAGATAATATACATTATACACACTGCATTCACAAATACAGCAGTGTACATAATTTTGTTTTGTTTCGTTTTGGAGCACACCTTCAAATGAGAGCCGGATGTGGGGGTCAAACTTGTGCCGATTCACCTCTATGGCCTTGAGAACACACAGCGGTCAAGGCGCCTTCCATCTTCCTCTTCCTAAAGCCAGCCAATGGGCTGGAGGCAGTCATAGAGGCATGGCACTATTGCGCACAGACACTTCCAGGTTCCGTGCGCCTTCCCCATTCATAAACCTGGGCCCATTGAGTCACGTCCAAAAGGCCTTCCTCGGGTCAATGGGCGCCTCCTCGCTCCTTCAGATGGACGCTGAGCCTCAGGCGGACATCGCACAGGAAAGCGTTCATCAGGTCTTGGCCGGCTTCCTGTGCAATCTTGCTGATCAGGTGACCCCGGGGGCCAATCAGCATCTTCTGTTGGGAAACGAGAACACGCAATTTCCTTTGAGCTTTGTTTGACATTCAAACATGGAATCCAACCCAGATCCGGGCAAAAATAAAATAATTCCAGATTATTGTTATGTTGTGCTTCTGCCAGAAGTTGGCCACACACCTTGCAATGTCTACCACCTGTGTGTATTTTAAATCAGTATTGATTATTCATGCTTAGATAGTTTGACGTTTACTTCTATTTTAAATGTTTACCGCTGGCATGTTTTGAATTGCAGATTGTATTGTTTTTAACCACTGATCACAGACAGAAAAAAGAGGTAAATATAAAAATATATGAGGTCACGAAGAGTCGGAAACGACTGAACGAACGAACAACAACAACATAAAAATATTACAATACAGTGTAATAATTTAAATATTGTAACAACAACAACAACAACAACAACACTTCTGGCAGAAGCATATCATAGAATTGTATCGTAGGATATAATAGTAATAATATTACTAATACTACAAACAATAATACTTCTTGCAGAAGCAAACCATAGAAGTTGCACTATAGGATATAATATAGGAGTAGTAGTAATATTACTAATATTACGAATAATAACACTTCTTGCAGAAGCAAACCATAAAGTTGCACTATAAGGTATAATATAGTAGTAGTAGTAGTATTAGTAATATTACGAATAATGATATTTCTTGCAGAAGCAAACCATAGACTTCCACTATAGGATATAATATAGTAGTAGTAGTAGTTGCACCGTTGGATTTAATATTGTAGTAGTAATAATATTACTAATAATAATACTTCTTGCAGAAGCAAACCATAGACTTCCACTATAGGATATAATATAGTAGTAGTAGTAGTAGTAGTAGTAGTAGTTGCACTGTAGGATATAATATTGTAGTAGTAATAATATTACTAATATTACGAATAATAATACTTCTTGCAGAAGCAAACCATAGAGTTGCACTATAAGTTATAATATAGTAGTAGTAGTAATATTACTAATATTACAAATAATAATACTTCTTGCAGAAGCAAACCATAGAAGTTGCACTATAGGATATAATATAGGAGTAGTAGTAATATTACTAATATTACGAATAATAACACTTCTTGCAGAAGCAAACCATAAAGTTGCACTATAAGGTATAATATAGTAGTAGTAGTAGTATTAGTAATATTACGAATAATGATATTTCTTGCAGAAGCAAACCATAGAAGTTGCACTATAAGTTAGAATATAGTAGTAGTAGTAATAATATTACTAATATTACAAATAATAATACTTCTTGCAGAAGCAAACCATAGAGTTGCACTATAAGTTATAATATAGTTGTAGTAGTAGTAATATTACTAATATTATGAATAATAATACTTCTGGAAGAAGCAAACTTGGATGTTTGAACGGGCATTTGGTTAAACAGTGCAATGAATGTGATGATTACAGGAATGGAAATTTGGACGACGGATTGGATCACGACTCTAGTTATGAGATGCATTGTGTTGTCTATTGTTGTGTCAATATTGTATATTATGCTTTTATGGTTTTAAATTGTATATCGTTGATTGATTTTTATCCTTGTTGTAAACCGCAAACCATAGAGTTTCACTGAAGGATATAATATAGTAGCAATAGTAATATTACTAATATTACGAATAATAATATTTCTTGCAGAAGCAAACCATAGACTTCCACTATAGGATATAATATAGTAGTAGTAGTAGTAGTTGCACCGTTGGATTTAATATTGTAGTAGTAATAATATTACTAATATTACGAATAATAATACTTCTTGCAGAAGCAAACCATAGACTTCCACTATAGGATATAATATAGTAGTAGTAGTAGTAGTAGTAGTAGTAGTAGTTGCACTGTAGGATATAATATTGTAGTAGTAATAATATTATTAATATTACAAAAACTAATATTTCTTGCAGAAGCAAACCATAGAGTTGCACTATAGGATATAATATAGTACTATTAGTAGTAATATTACTAATATTACGAATGAAATCAAATAAATATTAGAATATTACTATTAAAATAGATATAATGATACAGTATAATAATTTAAATATTATACCAACAAAAACAACAACACTTTTGGCAAAAGAATACCATAAAGTTGTACTGTAGGAAATAATATAGTAGTAATAATAATATTACTAATAATAGTATTTCTTGCAGAAGCAAACCATAGAGTTTCACTGAAGGATATAATATAGTAGCAATAGTAATATTACTAATATTACGAATAATAATATTTCTTGCAGAAGCAAACCATAGACTTCCACTATAGGATATAATATAGTAGTAGTAGTAGTAGTAGTAGTAGTAGTAGTTGCACTGTAGGATATAATATTGTAGTAGTAATAATATTACTAATATTACGAATAATAATACTTCTTGCAGAAGCAAACCATAAACTTACACTATAGGATATAATATAGTAGTAGTAGTAGTAGTAGTATTACTAATATTATGAATAAAATAAAATTAATATTAGAATATTACTATTAAAATAGATATAATGATACAGTATAATAATTTAAATATTATACCAACAATAACAACAACACTTTTGGCAAAAGAATACCATAAAGTTGTACTGTAAGAAATAATATAGTAGTAATCATAATATTACTAATATTACTAATAATAATACTTCTTTCAGAAGCAAACCATAGTGTTGCACTATAGGATATAATATAGTAGTAGTAGTAGTAATAATAATATTATTAATATTATTAATAATAATACTTCTTGCAAAAGAAAACCCTAGAGTTGTGTTTTAGGAAATAATATAGTAGTAGTAATAACATTACTAATATTATTAATAATACTTCTAGCAGAAGCACACCCTAGCAAATAATATAGTACCAGTAATAATAATATTACGAATATTACTAATAATACTTCTGGCAGAAGCACACTATAGAGTTGTACTGTAGGAAATAACACAGTAGTAGAAATAATATTACTATAATTACTAATTATAATACTTCTGGCAGAAGCACACTGTAGAGCTGTCCTATAGTAATAACAATAACAATCATAACAACAACAATAATGCTTCTGGCCAAAGCATGCCATAGAGTCGCACTGTAGAAAAATAACAACTATCATTATAATAATATAATACTTCAGACAGATGCATACCATAGTCATACTGCATGAAATAAATAAATACACAATAATTCCTATAGTATCCTTCTGCTAGAAGTAACCCATTCCATAGGCATTCTCTATTCCCCACAGGCTTGCGTCATTTACACAAAGTCCTGGGATAATACTAATATATCCTTTTGTGGAGAATGGAGCCTGGAAAGAGGGGTCAGGGGGCGTGGGGCCGACCTGCCGCTGACTCACCAGGTGACTCTCCTTCTGGACCTCCAGATTCTGCAGGATGACCAGCTCCCCGGCAGGCCCCTCTTCCCACACTTCCATCCTCTGCAAGAAGAAACTGGCCATGAGGAGCATGCCCAAGGTTCGTGGTGGGCCCCACTTCTCAGGAAGAGTCTGGCACGCATTGCCCCCTCCCCCACGCCCCATTCTGGCCCCTATAGCCACCTGTTGCACACTGTACGGCACTTCCTCTGGCAAATACTCGAGGAGCTTCTCCCGGATGATGTTTGTGCAGATCTCCTTCGGCGACTGGTTGGTCAGGACCTCACTATGAAACTCCCAGGGACCGGGCTTGGCTTGCATCAAGAGGTAGCTCTGGCAGAAGGAAGGAAGGAAGGAAGGGAGAGTCAGCATCATAACCCAGGCATTTGGGACTCCAACTCCCAGCTTGCCCAATGGCCAAGAATGATGGGCACTGGAGTCTAAAACACCTGGAGGACCAAAGATAGGACACCACTTGCGTATTAATATTTATTATTTATTTATTTATTGATGACATTTATACTCATCTTGTTGTGTTTCAAATAATAATAATAATAATAATAATAATAATAATAATAATAAAAATTCTACCCTGCCGTTTCTCTGTAGGGACTTTAAAAAGCTATCATCAGCATCATCTTTATTTCTAGCCTGCCGTTTCTTGGTAGGTGAGGCGAGGGAGAGAGATTATTTTCTCTTTTTTAAAAAAAACCTCTTTGCTGCCTTATACTGATTCAGTTTCTTCTTTTATATTGGCTGGGACTTTCTGTGCGCTGTTAAACCTTTGTACTTTATATCGCAGGCAATGAAACACTCTTGTGTATAACGAAGTAACACAGTTTATTTATAACTTCTGGCTCCAACGCTTGTGGTTACATTTGTGTTTTGTTGCAATCTTGAGGCGTACAGTCAGTATCATTTACTTGGTTAACTTTTCTGAATAAACTATCAATGTTTCAAATTCACAAACATGTTACTTGCTTCACACACTCTTGGCTGAATTATATTCTGAACTAAGGCAACACTAGCCTTCTTTATGTTCCTTAGAACTCGTGCTCTATTTAACTAACTGCTTCTCTATATGAGAAGTCTTTAACACATCTTCATAACTGCTTATTTCTATCAGGTACTCAAAAACCAACTCTCCACACACAGATTTCTAACTGCCGTTTTCAAACTCCCTCACTCTAACTGCCTCTTTCAGAATATTGGCTCCACCCCTTTGGAATGTTCAGCTCTGCTCTCCCCAACTGTCATTTTGGCCTAGCAGCCTTTTCAAATCCTGGGCCTACACTAATCTGCATATGTATAAGACCAATCGGCTTCACATATTCAGATGAATCCCATCTCTGCTGTTGCTACCCTGTCTGTGCCTATTCTTCTCTATCTGCCATATGTAAACATAGAGCTATACACCAAAACTTTACACAGAGCACCAATTTCACTACAGTAGGAAATCAAATAGGCTAAAAATATTATATTACTATTCTTGGGTTTATTTCTAGCCCACCTTTTTCCCCAGAGGGATTCAAAGAGGCTAACAATAACAACATTAATATTGTGTCATCGAAGGCTTTCAAGACTGGAATCACTGGGTTGCTGTGAGTTGTCTGGGCTGTCTGGCCAAGTTCCAGAAGCATTTTCTCCTGACGTTTCACCTACATCTATGGCAGGCATCCTCATAACATCGATTGTGGGCGAAACGTCAGGAGAGAATGCTTCCAGAACTTGGCCAGACAGCCCAGACAACTCAGAGCAACCCACATTAATGCTATGATTGACTATCCCATAATAATAATAATAATAATAATAATAATAATAATAATAAGATGGGGACTCAGAACAGCTAACATGGGGCCAAGGCCAAACAACAAATTACAATACAAAAATACAAATTGCAGTAAAATAAACAACATAACAATAAAGTATAAAACATCAAAGCATATAAACAATATACACAAAACACAGAAATCAAACATAATGACAGAGAGTGGGCTGCATGTACATAAAATGATTTTAATACTATCCCATAATGCTGTGCTAGGCCCCAGAGGAAAATGCTGCTTACCTTCAGGGTGTCCACATCCTCTCCGTCGACGGCAGCCAACATGAAGATTTCCCTGAAGTGGGGCCAACCCTTCTGAGGCTTCTTCTTTTTGGGAGGGTCCAAGCGGCCCTCTCCCTTGGCAATGCCAGTCTCTGTCCCCCTCTGGGACCCATCATCCCTGGCTCCGCTCTCAGGGGCCGAGTCCCCTTCAGGAGGGGCGCTTCTGCGGGAGACTTTGGACCTGATCTGCAACGGCTTCCCGTCGACAACTCCGAGGGTGAGGTCTGCCACCAGATCCAAGAGAATATCTTTCTTCTTCAGCAAATCCACCTGAGATGGAAGAATTGGGAGGCTGTGAATTAGGGGGGTTGGAAAGCAGCTGTGCGGGGCTACCTGTGTGAAGAACAGGGCAAGAGGCTCACCTTGTTCAAGACCAGGACGCTGGGGGTGTCGGGGACGTTGGCCAAGGCCCGGAGCACTTGAGGCGAAAGGCGGTTCCGGGTGTAATGGTCAGACACGTCGACCAGCACCAGCACTGGGAAAGAAAGGACACGCTCTCAGGTTCCATCCCATTCTCATGTTTACGTTTGTGCTTATGTATGTGTGTGTGTATGTATGTATGTGACACACACATACACAAACACACACACACAGAAATTGAATTATTCCATTTTCATGTTTATGTTATTGTGTGTGTGTATATATATGTGTGTATGTGTATATGTGTGTGTACATATACATATACATATACATATATATATATAAATGAATGCAATGTTCGTTTGTGGGATTAACAGAACTCAAAAACCACTGGACGAATTCGCACCAAATTTGGCCACAAGACACCTACTAACCCAAGGAGTGACCATCACTCCAAAAACATGGATTTTATCATTTGGGAGTTGTAGTTGCTGGGGTTCACAGTTCACCTTCAATCAAAGAGCATCCTGAACCCCACCAACGAGGGAATTGAACCAAACTTGGCACACAGTTCCTCCATGACCAACAGAAAACACTGGAAGGGTTTGGTGGGCATTGACCTTGACTTTGGGAGTTGTAGTTCACCTACATCTGGAGAGCACTGTGGACTCAAACAATGATGGATCTGGACCAAACTCTACACGAATACGCCCAAATGTGAAAACTGGTGGAGTTTGGGGAAAATAGAATCTTGACATTTGGGAGTTGTAGTTGCGGGGATGTATAGTTCACCTACAATCACAGAGCATTCTGAACCCCACCAACAATAGAATTGGGCCAAACCTCCCACACAGAACCCCCATGTGGGCCACAGCAACACGTGGCAGGGGACGGCTAGTATATATATATATAAAATAAATGTTTGTTTGTGGGATGAACATAACTCCAAAACCATTGGAAGAATTGACACCAAATTTGGACACTATACCCCTAACAGACCAACAAGTGACCATCACTCATAACACCCCCCCCCCAAAACAGCAGAAAGAACTTAAAAAACACAAAAAGCTAAATGACGAAAAACTAAATGACAATACAGGAAAAGGGAAGGAAAAGGGAAGGAAAAGGGAAGGGGAAGGGGAAGGGAAAGGGAAGGGAAGAAAGAAAGAGTGATGGAAGCATGGAAGCAAAGAGCGAAGGAAGGAAGGAAAGAGGTAGAGAAGGAAGAAAGGAGAGAAAGGTGAAAGAAAAGAAAAAGAGGGAAGGCAGGAAAGAGGTAGACAAAGGGGGGGAAGGGGGGAAGGAAGGGGGGAAGGAAAGAAGAAAAGGGAAGGAAGGAAGGAAAGAGGGAGCAAAGGAAGAAAGGAAAGAAAGAGGGAGGGAAGGTTGGCCACAGTAACGCCTGGCAGGTACAGCTAGTATATATATAAATGTAATGTTAGTTTGTGGGATTAACAAAGCTCAATAACCACTGGATGAATTGACACCAAATTTGGACACTAGACACCCCTCAGGCTAACGAGTGACCATCACTCATCAAAACACTGGAAAACACAGCAGAAGGGACTTAAAAAGCCAAAAAAAAATACATTACAACTCATGCACAAAACCACACACATATATATGCAAACACACATGTACACACATATATACACACACAAAACACATATACACAGACGGGGCCACAACAATGTGTGGCAGGGGACAGCTAGTGTGTGTGTGTGTGTGTATAAATGTAATGTTAGTTTGTATGATTAACAGAACTCAAAAACCACTGGACGAACTGACACCAAATTTGGACACAAGACACCTCTCAGACCAACGAGTGACCATCACTCATAAACACACTGAAAAACACAGCAGAAGAGACTTAAAAAGCCAAATATATATATATATTACAACACATGGCCAAAACCACATATATACACATATACACAAATATATACACACACGAAACATATATACACAGACTGGGCTACAGCAATGCGTGGCAGGGATGGCTAGTGTATGTATGTATGTGTATGTGTATATATAACCCTAACTCTCTGCCCCGGAGTGTGGTGGAGGCTCCTTCTTTGGAGGCTTTGAAGCAGAGGCTGGGTGGCAATCTGTCAGGAGTGCTTTGAATGTGATTTTCCTGCTTCTTGGCAGAATGGGGTTGGACGGGATGACGGCCCACCAGGTCTCTTCCCACTCTAGGATTCTAGGATAGCGGTGCTGACAACGACAACACTGTTTATATTTCTGAGGATGGGGACCACGTTCTCACCTAAGTCTGCTCCCTTGAGGCTCTTGAAGGGGTCAAAGAGGAGGGATTTCTCCAAGTGATGCCTGAAAGAGAAGACAGAAGGCCTGCAGTCTGAGCCCTTCATTCCCCTGCACTACGTCTCCCAAACCAAGTGTGGCTTGTACCTTCGGGCTTTGACTCGAGTGGTGAGGCCAGGCGTGTCCAAGATCACCTGTCAGAAGGAGAAGAAGGAGTCATAAATTTTCAAACAAGGCCAAAACAAATAAATAAACAAACAAAGGCAAAGCGGAGAGAAGAATCCAATGTTGATTCTGGTCTTCCTCTACCGGCCAATGAACTGCTGGTGGGGAATATTATTTGCCCCTGAGTTAAACCGCTGAGCTGCTGAACTTGCTGACCGAAAGGTCGCCAGCTCGAATCCAGGGAGCGGCGTGAGCTCCCACTGTCAGGCCCAGCTCCTGCCAACCTAGCAATTCGAAAAAATGCAAATGTGAGTAGATCAATAGGTATGTCTGTGTGGATATATATATATGTATGTATGTATGTATGTAAATATGGTAGGCAGGAGCCCCCCCCCCCCCCCCAGTTGTGCAGTGGGTTAAACCACTGAGCTGCTGAATTTGTTGATCGAAAGGTTGCCGGTTCCAATCTGGGGAGCGGGCTGAGCTCCCACTGTTAGCCCCAGCTCCTGCCAACCTAGCAATTCGAAAACATGCAAATGTGAGTAGATCAATAGGTACGTGTGTGTAGATATATAGATAGATATAGATATATATATGGTAGGCGGGAGCCCCCCCCCCCCCAGTTGTGCAGTGGGTTAAACCACTGAGCTGCTGAATTTGCTGATCAAAAGGTTGCTGAGCGGGCTGAGCTCCCACTGTTAGCCCCAGCTTCTGCCAACCTAGCAGTTTGAAAACATGCCAATGTGAGTAGATCATTAGGGAAGGGTGCTCCATGCAGTCCTGCCAGTGGTCACATGACCTTGCAGACGTCTATGGACAATGCCGGCTCTTCTGCTTAGACATGGAGAGTCCCAGAGTTGGACGCAACTGGACAATGTCTTAATCTTAATAGGTAGGCAAGTAGGTCGATTAATAGACCCAACACTATGAGTCATTTTGGGACTCTTTTTTAGAGAGAGAAAGTGGGACACAAAGAAGAGGAGGAGGAGGAGGAGATGATTTTCTGTTCCTTGCGCATTAATGCTCACCAGCTGCGTCTCCTCCTTTGTAACGACGCCTTGGGCGCTCCGTCTTGTTGTGTGCACTTTCTTGGAGACAGGCAAGATCTGTGGAGGAAAGAAGGACGCAGTTTAGGATCTGTGCTGACTTTCTATCAATTTGGGGGGTGCTGGGGTGCCTTCCTGTTTGTGCAAGGAACCCCACAGAAAAAAATGTCCACACGATTGCTTTGAGGAAGCGGTAACAATTTATGGATTGGTCTTGGGCCCATCTCCACCCAGGCACTATGTGGATTTTTCCATAACCAAGTCCCAGGTTATTTATTTATATACTAGCCTAACAAAAGGAGCTGGGACTTAGACAGTTCCATCACAATATCCATCGAACCACTGTTTGGTAACTGCCTGAGTGTTGGGTTTGAATCTGCTTATGGAAATCCCCAATGTATGTCTTTTAACTGCATTGTATGGTTTAGGTTACTTAACTGTAACCATTTTTCTTTGAGTAGTCACCTGTGAATTTGCATATATGGTATTTCCTGCGCCTGCGCAGACAGTTCGGAATCTTTTAGAAAACTTAGTAGACACTTTTAGGTGGTAGCCCCGCCCACTCTCCCCATAGAGTACATAGCCAGTGGGCGGGGCTACTGCCTCAGTTCCTTTCATCCACCACTCTGGCAGCAGCTAGGAAGCTTTCTCTCATTTTTCTTCATCCTTGACTAGCGTTTTTGGACTTTGTGAATTTTTACTATTTTTATTTTATGTTTATTTTTTATTTTGTCATGGTTATGGTATGTTGACCACCACTTTCTTTAAGAAGTGTCCCTCGTGTGGAGGGAAAGCCGCCCAATGGATGGGCGTGTTATGTGTCTGCGATGCCTGAGGAGAGGCCTTGGGGGTATGATCCGGCACCTTCTGCCCCATTTTTCACCTCTCAGGTATGTAAGAACCTAGCGCACCAGTAGGCAGCCTATCCCAGTTGCTAGAGGCTGTATCGGAGTGGTGCTTGAGGTTCCCCAGGCTTATTGTTCTGGGGGAATTCAACGTCCATGCCGATGCAGACTCTTATTCAACAGCAGCTGAGGACCTAGTATCGACCATGGCGACACTAGGACTCTCTCTTTGTCACGCTGGGCCCACTCGCCAGGCCGGACACACACTGGATTTGTTCTTTGGTGCAGGAATTCAAGTGACTCTAACCTCTATTATTGAGGTTCCATGGTTGGACCACTGTGCCCTGGGAGTCCGGTTAGAGCATGCTTACTCACCCGGCATAAGCACCGAACCGGTTTGGGTTCGCCCGAGGAGACTTATGGAACCTGATAGGTTCCTGAATGCTCTGAGGGTTCTGGAGCCTGTCAGCGACTCGATTGAATTGCAAGTGGATTTATGGAACAACTATTTATTTATTTATTTATTTCGGGTACTTCTATCCCGCCCTTCTCAACCCCCGAGGGGGGGCTCAGGGCGGCTTACAGAAAGGCACAATTTGATGCCTGCACAACATACACATAACGTATAAAACCATAGTTAAAACAATTATCACAGTTAAAAACAATCAGTATGTAACACATCAATAAAACTATTCTCATGCTCAGCATTCGTCTTTCAGAGTGCTACAGATGAGGGGCCACCGTACTTTCAAGTGCTTTGGCATCTCTAGATAGCCGTCCGGCTTCAGTCTAATAAAAGTGTCTAATATGTTTTCTAGGAGATTCCGAACTATCTGCACAGGTGCAGGAAATACCATATGTGCGATTCACCGTTGACCACGATGGAGAAATATAGGGCTATGCTTTCCCAGCAGCCTCAGGCATGGCAAACCCTTCTGCAGGAAAACCTAGCACCAACTTAAATGTTGCCAGAAGTCAGAGATAAACTTGAGCAAGAACAAAACAAGAGGAAAACTCGGTTGTACCTTCCTTCCCAAAAGCTGGTTCGAAAGCGTCGACTTCCCGGCATTTGGAGCCCCAATGATGGCGACTCTGAGGATTTTGGGGGACTCTGGCTGATCTGGCTCGTGGTCCAGCGCACTCTCCTCATCATCTGCAGGCAGAAAATGGAGTCGCTTCAACAGTGGTCCCTCCTGGGCACACAAGAGAGTGGACAACCTGGAAGGTGCTGAACAGACTGCACTCTGGCACCACGAGATGCAGAGCCATCCATAAGAAATGGGGCCACAAAGTGGAGTCCACGACATGCAAGTGTGGAGAAGAGCAAGCCACTGACAACAATGCAGCCTGAGCCCTGCCACAAGCAACTTTCAAAATTTCATGAAAAATGGCAGTTCCTAATTGGTTCTGTCATAAAAATCATCAATAATGAAATAATAATGAAATTTTGAAAGTTTTGTTAGAGTTCTGGAATTTTCACCACCAGAACTTTAGCAACACTGTAGAAGCAAGGCACCAGCGCCCCCTAGTTTTCACCACCAGAACTTTAGTTTTATACGTACTTTAGAACCATTTAGAAACATGGATTGTCCGTGCCTAAACTCATATACACAAAAATATATACACACAAAACACATCTACACAGACTGGGCCACAGCAACGCGTGGCACGGGACGGCTAGTGATAACTAAATAAGCTTGAGGACGGCCTGTCCTTCATTCCACTCGAGGCCCACCTTCGAAGGCGTTGACGGAGGGAGGATGCTGCCCCACCAGGCCCTTGTTTTCGCCCTTTGGGAGGCCCAGGATGTGGCCCAAAGCAGAGTCATTGCCGTAGAAGCCAATGCGGAGAAGGCCTAATTTGTGAGGGGAGGGATCCAGGAAGCCCACGCTGCTCTCTAAACCTAAAGAAGGAGGAAAGGGACAGAGTTAGAATAAGGACGGTGGGTTTAAGTGAAGTGGAAAGGCAACATCTAGCGGTATTCGTTGAATACAACAGTGCACATCTATCCTGGTTTGGCAGGATAAAACGTAAAGGTTTCCCCTTGACATTAAGTCTCACCAAGTCTGGCTCTGGGGGGTGAGGCTCACCTCCATTTCTAAGCAAAAGAGCCGGCACTGTCCATAGATACCTCCAAGGTCATGCGGCCAGCTGTTACCTTCCCGCCAAAGAGGTACAATTTCAACATGAAAATGGACAAAATTTGGCTAGCAGTATTTAATGAAGTCTAAAATCAGGATAGTGAAGAAAGAGGAACATTCAGAAAACAGGGGAATTCCAGACAGGAAACAATCAGGGCCAGCTGACACTAAAAACATGGATGTTCCACTGTGCCTTCGATTAGGCAACCCCCTCAGATAACCTGTCCCCTCAGGGAGACAGGGAGGATTATAAATAAAGTTGTTGTTGGAATAGAAAATATACACAACCAGATGAGTACACAGCAAACAAGATCACTCTGCTGGATTTTGTATTCGATCACACGTCAGAAACTCCCCATTTGCCTAGGACTATGTGATGTATCGGCAGATAATGTGTGCAAATCCAAGTAGGGTGGCCATTTGCAGCTGACAGGTGATAATTTTGTCAGCGTTGATTGTTTTTAAGTGCTGGCCAAGGTCTTGAGGCACCGCACCCAGTGTGCCCATCACCAATGGGACCACCTTGTTGTTGTTATTGAATTAGCACAATTTTTGTCCGCACTGATTGTTTTTAAGTGCAGGCCAAGGTCTTGAAGCACCGCACCCAGTGTGCCCATCACCACTGGGACCACCTTGCTGTTGTTATTGAATTAGCACAATTTTTGTCCGCACAGATTGTTTTTAAGTTCAGACCAAGGTTTTGAGGCACTGCACCCAGTGTGCCCATCACCACTGGGACCACCTTCTTGTTGTTATTGAATTAGCACAAATTTTGTCCGCACTGATTGTTTTTAAGTGCAGGCCAAGGCCTTGAGGCACTACACCCAGTGTGCCCATCACCACTGGGACCACCTTCTTTATGTTATTGAATTAGCACAATTTTTGTGTATATGTGTATATATATATTTGTGTATATATGTGTGTGTATATATTTGTATATTTGTGTGTTTATATGTATGCATCCATATTGTGTATATGTGTGTGCTTGTCTACATGCATATTTGTGTGTATGTGAATGTGCATATGTATATGAGTGTATGTGTATATGTATATATGGTGTATTTTTTGGCCAAGGTCTTGAGGCACTGCACCCAGTGTGCCCATCAGCACTGGGACCACCTTGTTGTTGTTATTGAATTAGCACAATTTTTGTCCACACTGATTGTTTCTAAGTGCAGGCCAAGATCTTGAGGCACTGCACCCATCACCACTGGGACCACATTGACTGGATTTGCAGCTCATAGACTGTAATTTTGTCTGCACAGATTTGTCTTTAAGTGCAGGCCAAGGTCTTGAGGCACTGCACCCAGTGTGCCCATCACCACTGGGACCACCTTGACTATCTTGTGCCAGATTATTATTATTATTATTATTATTATTATTATTATTATTATTATTATTAGAAAGGCAACAAGATGGTAATTTTTTCAGTGCTGATTGCTTTTAAGTGCAGGCCAAGGTCTTGAGGCACTGCACCATGCCCATCACCACTGGGACCACCTTGACTGGCTTTGCAGCTGACAGACTGTAATTTTGTCCGCACTGATTGTTTTTAAGTGCAGGCCAAGGTCTTGAGGCACTGCACCCAGTGTGCCATCACCACCAGGACCACCTTGTTGTTGTTATTGAATTAGCACAAATTTTGTGTATATGTGTATATATATTTGTGTATATATGTGTGTGTATATATTTGTATATTTGTGTGTTTATATGTATGCACCCATATTGTGTATATGTGTGTGCTTGTCTACATGCATGTCAGTGTGTATATTTTATGTATGTGGATATGTATATGTGTGTGCATCTGTATATGTATGTGTGTGTGTGCATATATATATACGTTTGTGTGTGTGTGAATGTGCATATGTATATGAGTGTATGTGTATATGTATATATGGTGTATTTTTTGGCCAAAGTCTTGAGGCACTGCACCCAGTGTGCCCATCACCACCGGGACCACCTTGTTGTTGTTATTGAATTAGCACAAATTTTGTCCACACTGATTGTTTTTAAGTGCAGGCCAAGGTCTTGAGGCACTGCACCCAGTGTGCCCATCACCACTGGGACCACCTTGACTGGCTTGAGCCAGAGTTTATTGTTGTTGTTGTTACTATTATTATTATTATTATTATTATTATTAGAAATGCAACAAGATGGAAATTTTTTGAGTGCTGATTGTTTTTAAGTGCAGGCCAAGGTCTTGAGGCACTGCACCCAGTGTGCCCATCACCACCGGGACCACCTTGTTGTTGTTATTGAATCAGCATAAATTTTGTCCAAACAGATTTGTTTTTAAGTGCAGGCCAAGGTCTTGAGGCACTGCACCCGGTGTGCCCATCACCACTGGAACCACCTTGACTGGCTTGTGCCAGAGTTTATTGTTGTTATTATTATTATTACTAGAAACGCAACAAGATGGTAATTTTTTCAGTGCTGATTGTTTTTAAGTGCAGGCCAAGGTCTTGAGGCAATCCACCCAGTGTGCCCATCACCACTGACACCACCTTGACTAGCTTGTGCCAGATTATTATTATTAGAAACGCAACAAGATGGTAATTTTGTCAGCACTGATTGTTTTTAAGTGCAGACCAAGGTCTTGAGGCACTGCACCCAGTGTGCCCATCACCACTGGGACCACCTTCTTGTTGTTGTTGTTGAATTAGCACAGAATGGAGGGTGATGGGAGTAGGAAGCCAGTGGAGGGCCCATAATGGGCAGTGACAAGCCTACAATCCTTATGGAGGCTCCAGAGCAGCACAAAATGAAGGCTTGTGGGGTGTGTAGGCCCTAAAGTAGCACACCGTGAAGAGTAATGGGGTTTGGAGCCCTCCAGGCCACAAGTAAACGTGTCCACGCCCCTCCCTCCAGCCCTGGAGGCCTCACCCAAGCGAGCCACGAGCCCCTCCGGCCTCCTCCGGATCCCCGCTCCACGCAAGGCCCAGGCGCTTCGGCGGACTAGGCCCCAAACCGCCACCGTTACCATGGCAACCGCCTCGGAAGCCCTACCGCGCCACCTGGACGCCTGGCGCCGCCATTTTGGAACCTCGCTTCCGCGCAAAGCACCGCAGGAGAGGAGGGAAATTAGCATCTCGCTTCCCATTGGCTGGAAAATTAGCATCTCGCTTCCCATTGGCTGGAGCGAAAGGAAGGCGTGGCGGAGTGTCTCGACTGTGGCATTGTGGGCCAGAGACAGGGAAGGGAGCGGGTGGGTTGCTTCCTGGATGCCTCTGAGCATGCGCAGAGTGCCCAAGGCTCAAGGGCCTGGAGAACAAGCCCCATGAGGAGCGGCTTAAAGAGCTTGGGCCAAAGCTGGCTCTGCTTTGAAGTCTCAGGTGGCCTCTGAGCATGTGC